TAAAAGATAAAAAAAAACAAAAGACTAGTGTTTTTTCATTTAGTAGATGTGATTATGTCAATTGATTATTTTTAAAATACAATAATGTTTAATATTCAATATTTTGTCTATTTTAAATATGTAGTATTATTTTTTATTTTTTCAAATTTTGGGTCGAATCTTACAATTCATGATTCGATACGATTCACGATTCGATACAATTCACGATTCTCAAATTTAGGATTCCGATTCACAATACGAATCACAATTTAACAACTATGTACACGGTATACGATACACAATACAATACAACGACACGCCTTTTAATACGCGATTTGACAACTATATTCCTCACTATGTACTTAACAATAGATGAAACATTATTGATATGCTGACATATAATATCATGACCTTTACTAAAGAATTTGTCTTGCGACAAGTCTGCCAGACAATTTTCACCAAGTTTGCAGGTAATTTATCCCATCTGAATAAAATAAGTTGCTTTCAACTGTCACAGTTTGCATCTGAAAACTTATTACTTTACACTTACTTGCTTCTTGATTTAAAAACAAATCAGCAAATTTCCAATCGTACATAAACCTTTTGGGCAAAAACTTATGCTTACCTGCCCATTATCATGTTAACAACAAGTTTCATTTTTGCTCCATTTCCAATCTGCCCCAGAAAAAAGGACTTCTTTCCCATGACATCAAAAGCAGGGAGAGCTTCCTCATACAATGCCTACATTTACAAATAAGGAGAGATGATCAAATTAATAGTCTAGTTAGAGAGAAAATTATAGCCCAAAACGATCTACAGACAGATATAGCCCAAGTTGACAGTAGGGTTATTCCAGTTACTAATCATGCATGTCCAGGAAAATATTTTCACTCCTTCCAGTTACTCATCATGCATGTCAACAAAACCTAGAACCATTACAGAATGCAGACAACCCTGCCAGATATCAAGGCTAGAAACAGCAAACGTGCACTGTTGATACTTTAAGTAGATTACCTTTTCCCCAGCGGCAAGGATCACTAGCTGACCATCTTCAGCAGGTTTTTTGCTGCCTGAAACTGGAGCTTCAAGGAAATAACCATCCTTTGACGTAATTGCCTGCACATATTGAAAGTGTGCCAATGGCAGTAATTTAAAAAAGAATGACATCTTCCTTTTGGTTTTTTTCCCCATTTTCTTTTCCATCTCATTATTGTTAAGTATTTCATATTCAAGTGTATCTGTAAAACAAGAACTTGGACTCAAAACCCATTCACATCCATAAATTCCTATCATAGGGATTTCTACACTAGAAACTTATTACCGATCTTCAGCTAAGGGACTGTCAACAGAAGAACGAAAAATGGGCGGTAAAGACTAGCATTGATGTTGGTTGTTTAGGTGTCTTGAAAACCAATCAATAAATGTCGCATATGTTTATGTAGGAGGACATTTGGATGTTTTTCTCTCCCACAAGGGCGCTCAGCAGGAGAAGTGGTGAAATAAAAGGTGTCTGGATCTCTTAGAACATCCTACTACTCGCCTGAGTAAATGACCACCAACCACAACCTCCATCACAAGAGCTTTGCACCGGGAAAGTTCAGACCAAAGTCTGTGGGGGTAGCCACAAGGTGAAACTCAGAACAAGAACCATCAGATTTTGATTTATTACCCTTATTTTACTAGTTACATTTTACAACAGCAAGAGGGAGGCAACATATACACATATCAAGGCTTGTATTTCAAGTTTATCAGAGTGGGTATCCTTGAGGGGTCTGAGCAAGTTTTTAAAACTTTTCAAAGAGTGAATGTTGAGTTCCAAAATCACGCAAGTATTTAACTATCCACTAATTTGCCAGCATGATTCGAATCACAGTGAAAAGAGGGAGGGAGGCAAGGAAAGAGAGAGAGAGAGAGGCATCCCAAGTATGCAATTTAAACCTCACAGATCTTTGAAGAAGTATCAGCATCAACAGTTGACATGTCAATGTACCCTTTTCCACTGCACATTTGCTCAAGAACGCCATCTTTGTCAAAGACCACCTGAGCAGTAACCAATCTATGGAATTAATATGAATAGTTGGAATTTCATTGCTAAAAAACAAAACTTGATTATACTACCGAAAGAGCTGCAGCAGGATCAGACAGCATTCCAATGGTATACTTGCATTTCTTGATTACTGCTGCAGGAGTTTCTTTAACAGAAGCGCCGTGCTTCACCAACTCATCACACTGTGAACAAGAAGCTACTGAAGACATGAAGCTTGCATTGCACAGAACAATAGTTATGTAAAGTAATTGCTCATCATTCCAGCCCCGAGCTGATCAGAACTTTATATTTCATAAACATAATCAAAAGATTGAAGTGCAGATACGTCATCATCGTTGATAGGTAGTCTATTAAGCTTCAAAAGTTAGTCATGCAAATTTTAATTAGCCAAAAATAACCAAAACTGAATTCCTTTGATTTGAAAACGGAAAAACGTGAGCTCCTCAGCTTGTATAGTTTACAAAGTGTGTATGACATACTAGTAAATCCAACCTCTGGGGAGTTTAAGCCATTCAAAGGGGTCATGTAGTCCTGTTGAGCTGTTAGCACTTAGCATAAAGAAAATTAAATAACTCTAAACGAGTTCTTCAGGGAAAAAATATTGATTTAAGTTTGGTAGTTCCATCTGGGATGTAGAAGAATGGGCTCTCACTTAATATGCAAACATTGGAGAGAACTTTAAGTTGGTGCATGATATATAGAGTAATGCTCTAAGGACCTAATCAGGGATCTAATTCAATACAGTCAATGTTAGTGAGAGCTAACCTCCAATCCAAGTCCCCATATTAGATCCAAATAGTATTTTCCTGATATACAAGCTTCAAGATATACTTCCTAATTGCAAACAAATCTTTCATAAGCCTATACAAATCATTCCCAAGTTTTCCAAATTTTCTATACTTCTTGAGTTTCTACTTGGCGAGATGTATTTATTTCTCGAATTGGGAATAGACATCAGCCTCTACACCAACATAAACACAAAAATGACTCACTCGTATGATTAATTTTGCTTAAATATTGATCTAAACAAAAAGACTCATCAACTAAATAAAAAAGTTATTAGTGTATCAAAAGACTACAGAAAGTCGGTCATTCATCCATTAACATTTCTAGAGACCAGAGATAAACTGATGAGAGAGAGAGAGAGAGAGAGAGAGTACCCTAGATAGAGTGCGGTTCCAAACAGTGAGCTTAAAACCATGGCGGAGCAAGTTCACTGCCATGGCCTTGCCCATGATTCCCATCCCTAAAAACCCTATTTCCGCCATTTCTCCCTCCTTTCTCTCTCTAGTTTCTCCCTCTTTCTTCAACTTCAATACTCTGCTCAGACACTACACTAGTAGTAGTCTATATCATAACCTACGCAAGATTAAATAAAATAAGATTAGTGCACTTTTCAGTCCCAAAGCATTATACGAAAGATTCAGATAAAATTATAAACAAGAAATAAAATATGCAATGAACGATTGATTATATCACCCACCATATCTACAAATCTAACAATGTCTGCTTGCGTTTGTCCATGTTCAGCCAGGCCAGTGGAATTTGGATAGACCTACAGAGAGAGGAGAGAGAAAGAGAGGAGCGGGGGTGGCGTTGGGGAGGGAACCGCTCGATCGATGCCACGTCAGCGTTGGTCTTCTTTCCATTCGTTTTGTTTGTCCGTTGATTCCGCTCCCGCTATCTTGGAAAAAATATTTAGTGTAATGGTGACGTCATTTCTAATTAGTGATTTAATGGTAAACCGTATCCGTTAAACAATGTCACTTGAAGGATTCTGGCTGACCTGGCGGCACCGAGCCCCAGTAGCCTTTACCTTTCTTCGCCAATAGGACCCTTTTCTAAGGCAATCCCACATCGGAAGATAGTCGTCTTCCCTCTGCCATATAAGTGGCCTAGTGGGTACCTCCTCCATAGGAAGTGTTCACTTATATGGCAGGGGGAAATACGACTCTCTTCCGATGTGGGATTGCCTTAGGAAAGGATCCTATTGGCGAAGAGAGGTAAAGGCTACTGGGGCTCGGTGCCGCCAGGTCAGCCGGAATCCTTCAAGTGGAAGGATGAAATCCGTAGCGATTTCTACCTCTTACATATATTAATAAATTATTCTTCTGAATTAGTAGTTATGACTCAAAATTAAACTTTCTATGGTGTGGATTCTCTTGATCACGACGAGGAGTTACTCCATCTCGGTCGTTTGTATTTCTTTCTTCCTTAACTTAAAAAAAAAATTGAATAAATAATTATGACATCATTTATCACTCTTACATAATATTATTATTGAATGAAAAATTGATAAATTTTACCTGATTAATGATACATAATAATAATAATAATTTCATCTCACCGTTGCATTCCGTCCTTAATTGGAGAGCACCAATAGATGTGTAACACGTGGTGTCAGTTATTACCTTTGATGGGCTGCACATCAAACTGGAACGTTTTGTCTTTTCATATTTGATTTGGCATACAGCAAATAATGTGCTGGACAAACTAGTGGGCTTGGAGTTGTGCTCAATCCAAAAGCCCACGTTATTACGATGTCCGAAGTGGAATGGGCCAAAAGGCTCTTCATGGATCATAGGCTTCTCTCCCAAAAAAATTCCTCGGCAAATTTTTTTTTTTCGTTCAAATCAATTTATAACTAATCCTATTTAAAGGTAAGACATTCACCCTACTTTCCGTTCGTTAATAGTTCTAATTTCAAAAATACAATTTGCACCTATTTTGTTAAAATGATTTATTAACTTAATCTATCATAATCATTAAATTTATAATCATCGAATTTGTATAAATCCGCCTAGCAGTTCATGGGTTTCATTTCAAAACAAACTACGAAATCATCATTTTTCTAGGTCAATCACCAGACCTGAGATACTTTGAAGTAGAAACTAGTTCTACCAAATGCCTTAAAAAAGTTCGAAAATTCAATCACCGAGTCACCGAAAAACTTGGGAATTAGACAAATGAAGAGGCTTTCTAAGCAATTTCTTTTCCCTTATTCTGGACAATAAAACCATTGAACCAATCGAGAATGAGATATCACATAGACCAAGAAGGGATCTTTTGCCGAGGACATCCAATGGTGGTACCACTCCTACCTTCACCTTCACAGATATTACGTACTGATACAGTCTTTGACGAAGCCATTCACTATGGTATACACACACACATATGTAATACAAAGACTTTAGTCACCATGCGTACAATGAATATGTGGAGCATTGTTTTGGTGAAATAGATAAAGCATGACGTAGATATGAAGGACCCGTATAAGTAGCACATATGAAGGGTCGCATAATAAATACAAACAAACTCTAATCATACAATTCATAGAACTCTGCAAGTCCAGAGACAAACATGAACTTCAAGTAAGGTTTGAGATTCATGATTGTTAGGTATCAGAACTGGCATTTGCATCGCGCATTGCATGTCGGAGTTCACTCAAGAAATCCATCTGCAAACCAGAAAAAGGGATCTTTGGAGTCATTAATCAAAAACAATGTCAAAAAGAACATTGTGTGTGTGTCGTGGTGGTTGGGGGGGAAGAGGGGGTAGGGAAGTATGAAATCACAAGAACATTTCCATTTTCACCTGATGTGGAAGTCTAACAATCCCCCAGGCTGATGTACCACTTCCTGTATACAAGACTGGCCTTTCTGAAAAATAAAATAGGAGACAAAGGACAAATACCAGTCAAACTGATAAAATGATCTGTGCCATTGCATTACAAGCCTACACACTACATTCCCACGTGATATGCTTTTAGATATGGGGTTCATGACAAGCAAAGTTTTCATTCGGAAGTCAGTAGACTTACTCTCAAGCTCTGATATGAAAATTTTATTTCATTCCCACAACCCAAACCAAGTGTTGGTGCTTGATGGGAGATTATGATTCTCATATTGGATGACACTTCCAGACTTCAATTCACTGGAACGGGAGCCAAGTTCTTGACATGATGAAGAAAATAATTATGCATGAGATGACCTTCATGGCATGTCAAACTAGAGTCCCTAAGGTCTTGTTGAACCATCAATTTGGAAAAATGTAAGAGCCTTTTTGCACCAAAGCAAATGCTTGATCTTTAAAAAAAATACCTAGCTTTTCCATGATGACTAAAAGGTGCATTGATCTATATTGCTTAACTAGTTACTAGTTGAGGTGTACTCCAGTTTCTCAGATACCATAAATCCATACATTGGTAGCCAGGTAATATAACTATCACTGAAAAGGATCCCGAGAAAGATTTAATGGTTATTCTGCCAAAGTAAACTTCTAGAAAAACATCAAGACGGTGCCCATTTAAATCATCTGAATGACTAGTTAGTTTAGCTGACCCCACAAATGGTTAACCTGGTTTGTCATTAATAAATGCGCAATCTCTCATCAAACTATTTTTCAGGAGGGATTTTATCTCATTAATAAACATATGGTATTGTTGCAAATCAAAGCTCCAAATACAGGCTCCCTGCCCTTTATATACGAGCTAATGCCACCTTTCTAGAATCTGAGATGACTCAGCATATTCCTACACGGATACCATTCATTGTTATCACATCAAACCAAGAAACAACTTTTAACTTACTGGGAAGGCTTCCACTACTAGGAGACGAGCAAAGACAAATAAATATAGTGGGTACTGATGCGCTTTACAGTTGGCTTATCAATATGAATGCATGACCTCCACAAACTCAAGTTTGACCGTTATCCACAAGCAAGCTCTATTAACTGGTCTTTGGCTATGTCCATCAACATTTTTGAACCCAAACCACCTATGTAGAATAATTTCACTTCAGTGAAGACGCACCAAACGTTGCTCTTTGTAAACAAGAATGCAGAACTCCATGTATGGAACCAAAAGCTAGTGCTTACAAGTTTCAACATGATAAACAAGTTCTATGGAAAAATCCCATAGACAAACCACATGAAAGTTGATCTTCTATGAACGGAAAATAAAATGGCCAAATCAGCAAAAGCAAACAAGCATTTGGAAACTTTAGCCAATGTCTTACTCACCAGCCAAATCTATGGACGGATTGTTGTATGCGTCCATCCCCGCTATCCAACCTGTATACCAAGAAAAAGAGGAATAGTTATCCAGAGAAATGAATCAACTTAAAACAACCACAACAAGGTACTTAAAGTCATCCCAGGATGGATGGAAAGTAAATATGAATCTAACCGAAAAGATGGGGAAGTGCATACATGTCTGATACACGGCTATATCGCACCAATAGACATTAATAATGACACTAGCCCAACTCAGCCATGTCAAAAAAATAATGCTTTGTGCTTGGATCTTGTTATATCATTTCCGTGAATGGCCACATATTTTGTTGAGAACATGTGACAATTTAAGAATCAATGTGTTTCAGAGTTAAACAAGCACGGATTAGGATGACTTCACTCAGGTGCATAATAAACACAAGTAGGCAGTTGTCGAACAACCCATATAGGTTCAGCTGACAATGTCTTGCAAAATATTATAACACATCAAAAAATATTAATTGCCGGTGGCAGTGAACATTATAGCTAAACTACAGTCAGAAGATGTGGGAAACGAGCGCGTGTGTGAGTGCCAAAAAAAATTCTTCCAGGTATTTAAAGGTACAATGTTGTATACAGAATTCATGTCGGAGTTTGCTCTTTTGGCAGGTTATATTTCCTTTTAACATTCATGCACAATTTTGTTGACTGATGCCCAAAGGAAATGAGAAAAAGAACAAAAGGAAAAATCCAATTGACTGCAAACAAGATACACAACATAAATGATCAAAGTGACTTATCAATTGACAAAGTAGACAACATAGAGGAAACATACGGTCATTAAGAAGCTGAAATGCTTCACTGTTACAACATCCATGCAAAGGTATTAACCGTGGAGCAACATCCACATTAACACGATTGTTGCCACCTTCATTCCCATGATATACAATAGGGAGATTTTTTGAGCCAGCATTTTGGTTCTTCTCTCCGTCATTTGCATATATATTTGCTCGTTCAAGCCGATCTACAAAGTTGAGTAAAACTATATCAACATGTCAAAAAATTTCCATAAAGGCAGTGAAGGTATGGATAAAATCTGGGAGAGTTATCTGAAAAGGGGGAGGCAAAGAAGTATTAGAAATTTCTAAAAGAGTACACCCCACTCTTGGACTTAAGATGGCAATTGTGTGTACAATGGTTTGTACCAGAATGCGGCTCAAAATGTCCTGTCCTGTCCTGTTAACCAGATACTTGACATACATGGATAAATATGCACCAATAAACTCAAGGATCAAAAAAGCCCCCTTGGATCAATGGAAATTTTCTAACTTGTCAAAATTGATGGCAGTCTAAAAGAAGGCAGTAATATCCTCCATAGGTTTAAAAAAATCCTTTGCAAGGGGTTGGGTGGTTTTTTTATTTTTAATTGCAAAGTCCTAGTCTCCTAAAAAATTAAAATAGAAACAAGGCTAATATACATTTTTCCTTGAGAATTCTACTTCTCCAAACCAAAGTTAGAACTCGGCCAAGTTTGCAACTCTCGAGAATTAAAATTCTTGCAAAGTCTCAACATAAAATTTCCAGTTCTGATAGTTTTATAGACGCGAGACAATGAAACAGATACCTAACACCCAATTAGTGGACTAATGGGCAGCAGTTTTTACCAAACATATCAGCCCACATGCTTATAGTGCTTAAAAAAGACCTCACACTGATATACAATCAGCGTCTATTAGTTCTACACAATTAACAGGGTCTTGAAAAAGAGTGGTATAATTTAGGAACAAGAAGTAAGTTTGTGTTCCTAATCACCTGATACATTCAACTGGAAAAACGAGAACTCAAATTCTCTAGAGGCTAACCTAGCATATAATTTATCATTAAAATTTGGGCAACCAACACCCAAAAAAACTCTAATCTTTCCAATTTTAAACCAACAGATTACCTTACTTTGATGCACTGTATCACTTATGTACCGGGGTTCCAATTAGTTCATTCATCATACAGAATTTCAATTACCTGCAGAACTTCTTTAAAGCTCTTACATGGTAAGTTTTATCATTACATCCCTATTTTTTTTAGGCATTTATTCCCCTCGTCTATAATTTTCAAGAGCATCTTTCAAGATAATTTTCTTTCCAAAAATAAGGTATTGATAAATCACTCACCTCCTCCAGATTTGCGCCGGCTGAGAGAACGATTCCTGCATGTAAGGAAACCATGAGCCCACCCAAAAATCATTACTTTTGCCAATCATTTCCAAAATTAAGCTACATCTAGATCCATGAACACACACACGCACGCACACACGCACCTCTGATTGGGACGAGCGTAGGGCTTGATGGTTGCGATGTTGGCAGCGGATGACAAAGAATGGGTGCTAGGGTTTTCCAGCATTTCTAAGTCTCCTCAACACTATCACCGCCAAATTATATGTAATTCTGTGATTTGTTTTCCTCGGCTCAGAAGAACATGGGGAGCAAATCAAACCTCCCAACTTGGGCACTTTTGCATCGGTCCCCTCTTTCTCTTTCTTCGGCCCTCCGTCGACATAGTCCCCGGAGAGGGAGGGGAAAGTTTAGGAACCGTTCCGTAACGTTTTTGCTTTTTGGTAAATTTTTGTTTTGCGGTAAATAGTTAAACAAAAAAATGTTTAATAATTATTTTTGTCTATCAAATTATGAGAATCATAAAACATGTTTGATAATCGTTTTTTTTTTTTTTTTTTTAAATGAGAGAATATATTGATGTAAGCCAAAATTACAAGGAGTAAAAAAAAAAACTTTAAAAACAAAAAGAGTTATAGTTGACTTTAATCCTCCAAAGAAAAGAAAAAAAACTTGCCGGCAAATTAGACCAGCTAAAATAATCTAACACACTCTCTCTCTCTCTCTCTCACATAATAATGCTGAAAGTTAATCAATCCATGAGTGGTATCATCTGTGTTGTTAACAAAAGGCCAAGGACCACCTGATATGCGTACACTGTTGGCCTATCAATGCCACCAGCAGGCGGGGCCAAATTTTTCCACTCAAGTTTGCAGTAATGCATAGAAATAAACCACCAACTAGAGACCATCACCATTTTAAGTACTGCCATACCATACAATACAAAAACACAAAACGGCCCCTTAGGGTTTTGTTTTATTTAATCTGATTACATGTTTTCTCCTACCGCTGGTCGAGGAGTTAGGTCTCACGTGCCCTCAAAGAGCGTGAGAGGCACCTTTTCCAATGTTTAGGAAAGTTGGGGCGAAAAAGATTAAATTTTTAATTGACAAAATTAATAACACAAACTAACATTGTAATATTTTTAATGCATAGAGTTTGTAACGTGAGAAATTTAATTTTTAAAGGTATAAAATAAAAAATTTTAAATTTTTTGCTGTATAAAATGAGATTCTCTCAAAAAGTAGATATAAGTTTAATACTTGTTTGTTTATAATTTTCATTTGATCTTTGAAGGTTTAATGTAAACAATTACAATTTTAAAGTTTTAACCGCGTGTCAATTAAGTTATTTTATTCAGATTTGTTCCGACAAAAGAATGTCATAGCACTTGCCCACAAAAATATATTTGTCTTGCAAAAAGATTTCTCTCAAATATATTAATATTTTTCTTTTCTCTCTCACAATATCTCTCAAATTCTCGCTCTATATATATATATTTTTTATTTGTTATATTTTTTTCTCAAAATCAAACAGAATAGAGTAAGAATTTATACCGTATACATAAAAAAAGAATTCATCAAACAAATATAATTCCTTTACTGAAGATATGTGTTGGTCACAGAACATAATTTGTCATAATAAAAAAGAAATTTTGATAAAAGAGCTAAGTTGAAAAAATTAACTCTAAGGGTTTGATTGTTACAATTAGAACTTCAAAGACCAAATAAAAAATTTAGTACATATTTGAAGGGTATAAATTATAATTTATCCAAACATTATACATGTAAAACCCGAACACACATGACCAATATATAATATGTGTCATAAACATATTCACATGTGACATGCATGCGTAGGATTAACGTTTAGTATTTAATTATAAGCAATGATATGAGACCTAAACCTGAACGATGAATATTTTTTAGCGCATGTGGAATTAATTTGGGTGACAAGCATGTGACATCAATTTATTGTTATAAAAACAAATGGTAATAGAATAAAATGTATTAGTATATACAATGAGTGGTTAAGGGTCCGAGAGACGAAATTTAATAATTTGAATGTATATTATAAATATATACATATAATTGTATATATGTATGAATATATATATATATATATATATATATATATATATATATATATATATATATATATATATATATATATATATATATATAATATATATAAAAAAAAAGTCATGATTGCTAGTCCCACTTAGCAAGACATGCAAGGCATGTTTTGCATGCAATAAAGAAACAAAAAAAAAAGGGGGGTTGCACTATGGGATATTAGGCTAGAGCAAGAACAAAGTAGGAAAGAAGAAGAAAACCAAGGGTAGAAGAAGGAAAGAAAGGAAAGAAAGAAAAGAAAAGAAAAAAAAAATAAAGTGCAAGTATAAGGTAAGAATTATGATTCATTTTCTTTCTTCTAATATGTAAAAAAATTCTATTTTTATTTAGACATTTTGAGTGTTGCATGTGTTTCAAATATGATATTTTGTATGTGGTTAGATGTTGTATATGGATGTATGATGTTGGGTATGAGGTTTGATTAATGCATGAAAGTTACATCTTGATATTTATGTGGGTGTGTAAATTAAATTAGTATTGTTGTAAAAAAAAAGAAAAAAAATTGAAGTGTGGTGGTACTTAGAATTTTTTTTACTTGTTCTTGAATTTTCATGAAATTTATGGGTATAGAATCTCCATACACTTGTATGATTTGTTGGGTATTTATAATTAGAATTTTTGTTCATTATTCTTGAATTTTCATGCAATTTTATGATTTTATTGGGAAATTATGTAGATTCAACTACATTTTGATTTCTATAATTTTACGAGAAATGTTTATTTTGGATGTCATGGCTTCGAGTGGATAATCTTACTAGCTATGAATGGATTACTCTCACGTAACTCGAATTGATTATAACTACTATTTTATTTATTTTTGTTTTTTGAGTAATTGATATTACTAGATGTGGATGAGTGATTGAATGTGGATTGATTAAATGAAACGATTGGCTTTGTATAAACCAATTCGAGTAAAGCGGTATTATTTATTCATATTCGAATGAGGTTTTGAATAATGAGTGGTAGGTTTAGGGATGAGCACCGTAAAGAACGCTGCTCAAAAAATTTCGACAG